CCGCCGCGCCAGCATGGTCTCGCAGTAGCGGTGCGCCGCGAGCGTGGAGGTCCGGGGATGGTCCACGTGCTGCCGCAGGAACTTCTCATAGCGGGTCTCACCCGCTGCTCCTGACAGCGCCGCCAGCACCAGGGCCACGCACAGGGCCCAGCCGGCCATTGGCACCTATGGGAAGCTGCGTCAGGGACATCCGGACTGCTGGGACCCCGATTGGAAACCCCATGCTGGATGCTCGATTCCTTTAGAGATTCCCCCTCCCAGACACCTGGGTCCCTTACAAATCCCTTCAGAATACATGTGGACACCCCCCGCCCCTTGGACACGTGGGCTTATCTGTGGATTCCACCTGGATGCCTGTGTCTCCTACAGAACACCCCATGGACACCTGAGTCCCCTACAGTTCTGCACTCCCCAGAAGCCTGTGCTCCCTACGGAACCCCCCCTGGATCTTTGGATCCCCTATAGATCCACTCCATGCCCCAGCACCTGGATCCCCTACATATCCTCCCTTTCCCATTGGATGCTTGGGTTCCTCACAAGTGCCCTCCCGCAGACACTCTGGTCCCCTGCACATCCCTCACCCGCATCTGTGTGTGTGTGCCTCAGTTTCTCTTATGGCCTCAGGGTCTCCGGGATCCCTCCCACTCTTCTGCACTTCTTTTATCCTGGGCCCAATGGGCAAGGATCGATGAAGAGGGGCAGGGCAAAGAGCAAGGTCCAGCGGATGTGTGTGGAGAGCCAGGCGAGGCCCCACGCCGCCTTGTGCCCTCCCCCAAGGCCATTAGGCAGTCATTAACGAACCACGCAACTGGCTGCGCAAGTCCCCCGGGATGCCCCCTGCCCATGCTGCCTTGGACCATGCATTTGGCCTTGGCCACGTGTCCCATAGAGGGAGAGGACACCTTGGTCCCCTTGGGGGCAGGGCGAGATCCCCGCTTCCGTGGGAGGGCAGGATGTCAGCATCACCTCCGGCACAGCTGTCAGATGCTCCTGCCCCTCTTGGACGATGTGGTATGTCCGTGGCTGTCCTGCATTGGCTCAGGAGCTGTGCCCCTTGCCCTGCACGCCCTTGCAGGCAAGTTTGTGCCCCTGGGAAGTGCCCCACCGTTAGCTCATATGGTCCTGGCTGCTCCA